GGCCTCAGGTCCTGGTTTCTTCAAGCAGGTGCAGTGAAAAGAGTGCAGGTTAGGGTCATGGACATGTTCTCACAGCTTTCATCTAGGCCCTATCCCTCCCAGTCAATTAAATACCGGACCCTTCACCATCATCAGCAAGAGTCCAAAATTTACCAAACCATGTATTCTTCCTGCTCTTGAATTGGTGGGGCAGGGCAGTGAAAGGCATTTGCAGTATGTGGTTTTAACAGGGAGCTATGGAATACAGGATGGACCATGTAGGGATCCCGCTAGCTGAAGGTTACTGGATTAATCTGTTCCATAATCTTACAAGGCCCCCTAAAGTACTGGTGGCCCATCTTTGTATACAGGTGAGCAGATCTAAGGTTCTGGCCAAACAGCCAGACCTTATGCCCTACGGAGAAGGTGGGGGGATAGCTGGCAGTGCAGATGAGCAAATAGTGGGTAGGCTGCCTTAGTGTCTTCTAACCAGCTTTTAAGCATTTGGTACACCTGATGGGTATGAGCACTAACATCAGAAATTGCAGGAACTGGGAACTTGATGGGGATTCTTGGGGGAAGGGGAAGTGAAAAGGGAATCTATGCTTAGCAAAACAAAGGGGAATGTTGGGTGGAGATACTAGTAGTGTTGTTGTGGGCAAATTCTCTGTGAAAGATAAGTGATGGTAATTAAGAAAGATGTTCCAGAAACAGACTGATCTGTTCGGTCTGACCACTGGTTTTTGGGTGGGAGTCAATCAGAGAGACCCTCCCGTCGACTTCCCTTACTCTTCTCATCCAAGATAGAGTAACAGGGTCAACAAGAAAGCAATCTGAGATTGATTTGGCAGGTCCTCACTAGACCTGCTAAATCAACCACCAGTGGATCGACTGCAGTGTCCATGTGGGCTGTAGTGCAGATGTAGCCTGTGTCAAATGTTTCTGGTAGCAGGATCTGCAGTTCCCATAGGGTTGAGAGTGTGGCACCCCCTGATGCCATGTGCACCTCCAAGTTCCCAGAGCCACTACCAACTCTGCTAAAGAAGGACTGGCCTGGGAGGGATCCATGTTGGAGAGACGGACTCCTAGCCTTGGGTTTTTTTTGGGGGGGGGGGGGAGGGAAGATGGGGCGCTGCCCAAACTGGACCATGGGTGGTATTGCATAGTGGTCAAAGGGAAAATTCGGCCTGTTACAGCTGGGTACCGGGTAGACAAAGTCCAGGAACGAGTCAAGAATCAGTAGCCAAATGCCAGAGTGTAATCAGAGTTGTAAATCAGAGGCTGAGCAGGGGATTGGTTCTGGTGACAAAAGCCAAATGCCAGAGATTGAGGGCCAATCAGCCAGGACAAAGCAGAGGACCAACACTGGAAAAGAGCCAGAGAGGAACCAGGTCTGGAGCAGAGAACTGGAAGCAGGAATCAAAATAGAAGCAAGCACAGCATGATATCCATTGAGCAGCAAGAGAGCCGCTTCTGTGCTTAAAAGTCAGCCACCCTTCCTGACCAATCATACGGTGCAGTCAATCAGGTAGCCTGCTGCAGACTAGTTGTACTTGCTGGATTGCCAGTAGACTCCTTCTGCTACAGACTCTGGTCCCTGTCACCACCTAAACAGTCACAGCCAAACAGAAAGGAAAGGACTTGGAAATACAGATAGTATACAAGCAAATGATATTAAAACAAGCCAAATTAGTCTCTGGCATAACTATGCTGAAGATTCAGGAATATATTTAGCAAGCATCCAACTGAAGGGTAATTCCCATGAAGAATGGAAATATATACTTAGGAAACTGAAAGTTTCTGCTTATCTTAGAGAAAGGATGATCTTATGATCAAGGTACTTGACCAGGACTCAGGCTATTCAGTTCAAAGCTCCCAACTCTGCTACAGGCTCCCTGTGTGACCCTTAATCTCCGTGTGCCTTGATTTCCCATCTGTAAAATGGGAGTGGCAATACTTCCGGTCTCCCATCCTTTAACCAGGTTTCCTTTTTAGAGTAAGACCTTTCTACATATTGATATAGCATCTTGGGCCCTAAGGGTGCTATTGCAACATAATGAATATGAAAAACAAAATTAAAAGCCTAATTAAAAGGATTGTAGTCAGTTTTCCAAGATGAATAATTTCACATCTACTACTAAAAAGAGTTTTCAAATTGATAGCCACCTTTTTCTCCAACTCTCTGTCATCATCACATATACATGGGAGCAACATTTCCACATGAAGATAAAGCTTATGTTTCTCCGTACCATAGATGTATGCACCTATTGTGCTGTAATGCTAGAGGCTAAGAGAAAATCAGCTCTAGTTTCCAGCTCAAATTGCCAGAGTCCCAGATAGATGATAGTCTGGCACCTATTTTGCATTTTTTTTTTTTTTTGCTCTCTTACATACACAAGCAGCAGAGACTACTTGGGTATACCTTGATTCTCAGAAGCCAGAATCATCTCAGCACTCCAGGTATAACTAGGTGAAATACAAGCACTCTTAGATGGTGAAAGTGCTCATCAAGAAAAGAAA